TTCAGTGTATTTTTGGTAACAATGCTATAGCTGACCAGAAAAGTAAAAAGATTTTCCTCTATTAACTTAATACAGAGATTCTTTGTCTAAAGTACCTACACTCTCCTCAGCCCAAGGAGGAGAGGAAGGTGTGGGACAAAATCCATGCATGTTTTCTCCACTGTCCCAAGCTGCAACCTCCTGTTAAGCTCCTGCTTGGGAGTGTCCCGGTTTCGTGTGCTCAGGTCTCGGATGCCACCTCCTGGCTTTCCCACTGTACTGTGCATCTCGCTAACGCACCGTGCTCAACGCAGACCGGGAGGACCTTTCCCATCACACCGTCGGAAATAACAAAGCCATGTAAAGCCTTACTGGGTCAGAGCAGCTTTTATTCTTTGAGGATCTGACCCGATCCCACGTATTTTTGAATCAGGATGGAGGTAACTCCTCTAACCAATATCCCTCCAGCCACCCGCTTGCCGTTACGCTATTACAGACTTTTGTGCAGGATCCCATCGCAGCAGCACCTTGACTCCCAAAGCCCCTCTGGGCTGTGACCCATCACTTTGGGGGTGGGTCGGGTACCTCTCGTCTTTCAACATCAGATATTGTGCAGGGTGTATTTTGTCTCTACAAACTTTTATGACCCCTATGCAGTCTCTTATGTATCACCTGTGTCTTTCCGTGCTCGCTGTTTAGGGTTTTGGTATGCTGTTTCCAAGTCTCTACAGACTTCTTGCTGGGTTGAGGAATAATTTAAGTGGGTGGTTGACAGGGGGATAGCAAAGGTATTTTTGGAGCTGTAAGACAGTGTGGTGGTATCCGAGCCCAGCAGGTAAGAAAAACTCACGGGAGGGGCCACTCTGCAATAAGGAAACAGAAGATGGGGAGCAGACAGTGTGCTCTGTCCTCCCTGCTTGTTCTCCATCATTTCCCAGCTCTTTCTGCCCTCCCGGTGACGTTTCAGGCCTGGGTAAGCCTACTTGTACACCCGCCAGCCAAGCCTGCCTCTTCCAGAGGTGTCCTACCAAGTTCATCCATAATCAAGCAGCTTGGCCATTCATTTGGCACGTGCCGTGGCCGGGCTGGGGCTCCACAGAGCCGGTACATGTGATGCTCCCTGGCCACAGCAGACTTGCTCCTCATCTGCACGGGGCTGGTCCACGCACATTTGCCAGGGAAATCCCAGCAACATGATGTGAGCTGCAGCTTCTTGGAAGTCAGCTGGGAGCGGTAGCTGCTAAAGCCAGAAATTTTGGCGGTTCCTGATGCAGCATGGATCTGGGGCCATCTGAGACATCTCCTCATGGTGGTGGCCGTTGATGGCTGCCAAACGTATGAACAACTGGGAGGACATCAGTGGTCCCATGGAGTTTGGCTTTCTGACCAGCTGGTAGAGTTTAACTGCGGGAAGGAGGCCACCAACAGGACTGGAAATAAAGATGGAGAAACAGCACTGAAGGCAGAGCTCAGGTTTGGAGACAACCCTGCCTCTGTCCTTGGAGACTCACGAGAGTTGTCCTCCAGCGGGAGGTCAAAATGGTCTTCAACCATGAAAGGCTTCAGCCCAAGCGAGGAGGGATGCCTTGGGGAAAGGAGATGGCGACAGAGGCTCTTCTCCCTGCGCTGCCAGTGCAGACCAGCAGATGGAAGTTGCTGGGGTTTGCAGGAACCATTCTGAGCCTTTGCAGAAGCTGTTTGAATCACTCTTCATCAGCATTTGCCACAAGAATGGGCTGAAGGTACCAGATCATGCAACCTGCATGACTGGGCTGCATCCGGATACCCTTAATCATCGGCAAAGGTATGCAGGACCACAAGGAGAGCATCAGCGCTGCGAGGCACTCCTAAGCTCGGAGACAGGAGCTCTGCATTCCCTTGTGACCAGCAGGTCCCTGGATGAATGCAGGTGTTAAATGACCTATCTCCTTTCCTACGTCGCTGGTTTCAAGCAGGGACTGAGTTTTGCACCTGGGCTTCCCACTGGCTTCCCTGAAGACGCCCTGGCCTGCTGCAAGCTTGTCTAGTCAGTTCAAATGGGGGCCCGGGCCAGGTCCACGGCAGCTTGTCCAGCACGGCCGTGCCGAGAGGCCTTTCTGCATCAGAGCAGCTGGATTTTCTATTTCCAAAGTGCTCCTTGCTGCAGTGCCTGGACCACACACAATGGCGGAGCACAGCGCTTTAGAGAGAAAATGGTCCGAAAGCTCCCAGATTTATTTGTTTATTGTCCCACCTTCAAAATGAGGAAAAGGGGGGGGGGTGTCCAGTAAAATGTAGAATGAAAGTGTGCCAAAACCAGCCTTTTTCCCCTATTCCTTTTTCTCCCAGGCAGTGCCAGGGACCGAAGGACCTGGGTGCCAGCAACCTGCACCCTTTTTCCCAGAGCTGCCATCAGGCTGTGCCCCCTCCGGAGCTTCTTTCCACTCTGGAGGCTCCATCCCACCCACAGGCTGGGGACATTCCCTGTCCCCACATCGCTGCCCAGAGAGTGTCCCTTTGAGTAGGACACAAGTGGGAGCTGCCCGGGAGGAGCAGGGGCATTGCACACGTGCACGAGCAGACGCGGATGGACAGAGGCAGCAAGCGCACAGACACGTGTGCGCACACACCTGCGCCATGCTCGCACCGGCCAGGGAGGGGGACGCCCGGGGACCCTCGGAGCAGACGTGACCTACTTTAGCTCCGAGGCGAGCCGTGCTGCACGGGTCCCAGTGTAAAAGCTTAATAGAGCCGGGCGTAAATTATTCATTGCCTGGCCATGTTAATGCATGTGCTAAAGGCTTTTTTTTTTTTTTTTTTTTTAAACCTCCCTGTGCTACAATTAAGACTTCAAAAAAGAGATGGCACAGACATTAATTTTGCACTGCAAGGGGCCAAGTCAATTAACAAGAAAGTATTACTACTGCAAGCCAGTGTTTAATTTGTGGCGTTATTCACAGAAGAAAAAGGAGTTATAAACTCTATAATTTAAAGCCTTGCACGCTCCCATCACCAGGCCCTGACTGCTCTCCGGGGTGTTTCTGCTTAGGTGAGCAGAGCTGCGAGATAAGGATGGACCCAGCAGGGAAGAGCCGGTCCAGCAGGAGCTGGGATTCAGGCAGGAGCCGGGATGCAGGCAGGAGCCGGGATACAGGCAGGAGCAAGCTTCGCCCGGACCATGGGCAGGGGGATCCCGCGGGGAAGGGGCTGGCAGCACTGCTCTGGCTCGGGCAGCCCGCAGCGAGTCACTTCCCGGAGAGGCAGAGCTCATCCGAGCCCGTTCCCAGGCACGGTGACCAGCGGGGCTATTTTTAGACCTGCCTTTTGCTTTTTCTTATTTTTTTTCCCCTGTTCCTCGCCTTTGCTCAGCACTGCCCTCGAAGCCCTGGGGAGAGAGTAAAACACCGATCCCTGGGGTGGGAAACTGCATGGGAGGGCTTTAGGAGCACCCCATCGCAGGGACGCGCTGAATCCAGCCACAGGGACCCCTTTGGCACAGCGGGGAGACCCCCCAGGCCTTAAATCCCCCCCGGGATTTAAGCAAGCTGCCTCCAGCACATCTACAGGCAGCTCCCGCTGTAACATCCAGCCCCGGCCCCGCTTTTCACCCCCCAGGACAACCACCCCCTGCCCCAGGGCTGCAGTTCCCACGGCTGTTTTAGCAGGTACAGATAAGGCCACAAAAAGAGTCGGCAGCCCCGGCCAGGGCGCCCTGCACCGGAGGAGGAGCTGGTCAGGCGTGGGGCGATGCTGCAGCTGCAGAGGACGTTTGCCTTCTATGGCCATCTCTCCTCGCTGCACCGCTGGCGGGGAGGAACAGCGCTGGCACGGAGGAGAGGCCCTCTCCAGAAGAGCTCAGCAGCATCAACAGCCCCTCCAATACACACCCATGCAGGCAAGGACTTGCCCTCCTCCTAGCGGGGGGGGGGAAGGGAGGAAGATGCCCCAACCCCACTCGTGGTCTTCAGCAGCATCCCAGACGAGCCTGCATCCCTCCAGGCAGGGCTGGGGACCCGGGCAAGGAGGGGAAGGGGTACAGGTACCGCTGAGCCTGAAGCATCCCAACCCAGCCCCAGAACAAAAACACAACAGACCACAGAAAAAGAGTCAAAGCAGCCTCTGGGTATATATATTTTTTTTTTTGTTGCATTTCATATATTATCCAGTTTCACATTCTCATAGGATCAGTTCTCAAATCTTTTAGTACAAGCGAGACAGCCATGGTCATATAATACTTAAAGCACTTCAATACCAAGCAATAAGATGCTAAAACAAAAATTGCACAATTTCTTGTTTACTATGCCTGACTGAATCATTGTTACAGAAGACAACCCTTCTCTTTCAAGCTTTTAACTAAACATTAACTTATCTTACAGGATTACAATTTCTCTTCAATAATAATAATAATTAATTGCACACAAACACACAAGAAATTCTTTATGATGCATAAATATTTCCTTATTACACATGGTACAAAAATACTCGTAACTTTTTTTTTGTTCGGTATTCCCATAAGGATGACTGATTATTTGGCAGGACTGGATGCTCTCCAATCAGAAGGATGTGGAAAAAAAAAGTTAGATATTTTACAGCCATTCTATATATAGAAGTCTGAAGAAGAAAAAAAAAAAATATAATAACCCTGACTTTAAAACCGGAGAAGAATGGATGAGAACAGAAACCCAGTGCATCGTACTTGGAGAGGAAAAAAAAAAAAAGAAAGAAACATTTTTCAAATTCTTCTGGTCATACTGGGAAGGGGAGGGTGAGGTGGGAGAAGGGGTGAGACAAGGACAGTTAGTATTTCTCAAAGCCAAGTCTTCACCGAGGCAAGATGAAAACCTTGATGGATCAATCCCGTTGGGCCAAGACCTGTTGCTAACGGTTACACAAACGCTAGAACAAACAAACTTACACTCACACATACACAAGTTAAGTGTTTTAATTCATGCCAGAAAACATGCAAAACCCATTGCCTTTCGTTTCCTTCAGCCGAGCCGCCGGGGCAGGACGAGCCTGGGGAAACCCAGGACCAAGCCCCCCCAGCTGGGTTTCGGCGCAGCCGGACAGCGAAGCTCAGTCAGGGAGGGTGTCCTGGGGATGGAGGGAGGGATGGAGGGATAGATGGAGGCAGTGCACGGCCCGTGGCGGGTGGCCACGGCGGCTTCACAGTCCGGGGAGGGGAGATGCCGGCAGCCCCGGGGCGGGGAGCGCGCTGGGGCCAGGCACCTTGTCTGCTGGCCACAAACCAAACCGAGAGGAGTCTGAGCGATCGTCCCTGGCACATCCCTCCACAGAGAGGCAGGGAGGAGGAACACAAGCCGAGGAGAAACGCTGCGGGAGAGGAGCGGCAGTGAGCGGGGCTGGCTGGATCCCCTCCCCGAGCAGCACCCACAGGCCTTCCCCCGCCCCAGGGCTTGGTGGGTCTCCCTGTTCCCACCGTGGTGGATTTGGCCCCATCACCCATCAATGTAACCCAACTGCATCCTTGGGTAGGTGCGGGGGGCTGAGCCCGAGCTCCCATCCCTCCTCCCCACAAGAGCCCGAGGAGCCCAGGAACGAGCAAGACAAGGACCCGGCTTCAAGAGTAATTAATTACTTACTAATGAACTCCCTGTTCCCCCGTGGTGGATTTGGCCCCATCACCCATCAATGTAACCCAACTGCATCCTTGGGTAGGTGCGGGGGGCTGAGCCCGAGCTCCCATCCCTCCTCCCCACAAGAGCCCGAGGAGCCCAGGAACGAGCAAGACAAGGACCCGGCTTCAAGAGTAATTAATTACTTACTAATGAACTAACAAAACTGACGAGACTTCCATCCTTGCTGGGTAGCTTCGGAGGGAGGATACCAGCGCATCTGGAAAAAGAAAGCCACGCCAGAGGTCCATGATCCGGGATTATCTCTCTCAACCAGAGCCCAAACCTTCAGCTCCTCCAGGCCACGTACGAGGTACAGAGTAGAGATGTCTCCGGCATGGGAAAGGAGGCTCCAAGGTGAGCCCCAAATACTACTCGAGCAGCATCCCAACCTGGGGCTGCACCGTGCCAGCACTGCCCGGCGTGCCGGCCCCACACGGGCCAGCTCTGGTGGCTCATGCAAGGATAGGCTCAGGCTCACCAGGCACTGGGACCCAGCCAGGTCCTCCCTTAAGGAACACGGCAGGATCCCACGCGTCTAAGAAGGAAGCTAGCACCCCATCTCAGGGCTTGCCTCAACATCTCAAGTACTTTCTGCCTATTGGCATAACCAGAAAACAGCCCCCAAATTCACACCCATGCCTGGCCCCAGCTCACTAGAACACACAGAACACCACCGTTCAAGCTAGGAAAGCTCCTCACCACCAAGCTATCTGTGAAGTTTACCGCTGCAGAAGTGTGCGCGAGGAGGGGCTGTTCCCCCCCCAGCACGCTCCCACTCCCCCACACATCAAGTTTACATCTTTCCCCCCTGTTCAGGTTTAGGCAGGGCAGAGGAGGCTCACTTCAGGCATGCAGCACCCCAAGGTGGTGGCTGCTCTGCCCTCAGCCAGCAGAAGGAGGCATCTCAAGACCACACATTTAAACCAGACAACCTCTATGTGACACGCACAGTGTAAGAACTGGCTCATCCATCCCTGAAGAGACCTGTGAAATTTCCTAAGCCACAACCCAGCCATCAGAAGAGGCTCCAGGCAGACCACATCATGGGAAGAACGTGGTAGAGCTGCAAACCAGCAAGACTTGGAGGCTTCCCTGGCAGGTCATTGCTGCCACATCTACTGCTCAGGCCTGCTCCTTGCCGACGAAGGACTGCTGGATGGGGACCCAATGAGCAGACATGGGAACAGTAACTGAGCAGACACTTTCCAGCCTGTCAGTAGATGCAGCAAGCTGGCAACATCCAGTAGAATAGCATCAGACATCCAGATGCTCCCGTTTGGTCTGCAAGACCAGTACGTCAGGCTGGGCTGAGCTAGCAGCTTCATGCCTGAGAGCAGCAGGAGATGAGTCTGTGCCACTTGACTGAGCACAGATCCAGCGGGAGGAGCAGCTAGCGGAGCTTGGTCCTGCTGCTGTTTGCAAAGGGAGCTGAAACACGGCAGCCATCCCCCCCTCTTCTCTCTCCCCAGCTGGTGGGAGGAGAGGACAACCCCAGTGCAGACAGGCATCAAGAGCAGCAGATACGTTCAGGGCTCTGGGTACCAGCAGAATGATGGACTTTGCTTTAAGATGGGTAGAAAAGAAACAGAAAATGCCCTAGAGCCCAGTGTGAGCTCCTCCCCTTGCCAGACCATCCTGGCAAGGTTATCCCCTTGGCTGAACAAGCCTGCCTAGATGCTCCCCTCCCAAGCACACACACCACTCTAGGGCCAGAGGGAAAAAACAGTATTCCCAGACCAGCTCCAACCCCCGTGCATGGCACTTTCCCACTAAGACGAACCCTTGGCCAAGGACAGGCAGACTTTCTTGGAGCAAGGTCCCAGGTCAGTTGAGCAAAGGAAGAGTTGCAGCCACGGCCAAAGCATCTAGTTTGGCAGAGGCTTTGGAGCTCACCTAACCCCTACATGGCTGATGCACTACTGTCACACCAGCAAGGGCAATTCTGCCAGCCTCTTTCTAACAGGGCTCTTGCCAGAGTCAGGTCTCCCCTGCAGGCTGTAAGTGTGCAAGAGACATCAAGAAAGCCACTCCAGGTTGAGATGACAGCTGGCAATGAGGGGGAACAGAAGGTAGGTGTTTTCTAACTACCTAGCAGCCAGCAGGCTGCCTGACCAATGCACTGGATGGCACATGCAACACAAGTCTTGCTGCAAAGTTATCCAGGAGTGGAGATGCAGCCCTGTGTCCCCAACCCCAGCTGCACAAGACCTCAAGAAGCTGCGCACAGGTATTCGGAAGAGACAGAGCTGAAGACCAGGACACCCAGAGACAACCCTTGGATTACTCTCCAAGCTAGGCACATCCTCAGTGGGTCCCTTCAAACCCTACTCCCTTTACCCCTGTAAGAAGCAGAAGTCTGACATGCGATGGAGATGCAAAGCCAGAGGCTTTGCATTCATTCCTTTATACAGAGACACGCAGCAAATGGCCAAGACCTTGACACTGCAGCCTCCTTACAGGAGCTGGAGGGGACAACAACCACACAGCTCCCAGAAAACACAGCTGCCTGCGATGGCCAAGTCCTCCCTCCACCATCACAAGGGCTGTGATGCCCATAACTGAGGTCCCTGAGCTCATGCCTGGGGCTGTTCAAGTCCCTCCTCTTGTGATGCTTCCCTACAGGGAGGAGGCCTGCAAGTTTGCAGAGGCTCTGTTCTAGCAGGAGCCTCTCATCAGCTAAGTTAGATCTGCTGGATCCCAGGCTCCTGTTCAGGCACCAGCTCCACGCTCGAGGCGGCTGTCTGTAGCCAGGCACTCTGGGCTGGTCAGACTCCTTGCCAGACACCTTCATGAGGCATGAGGTGGCTGCTACCAACTCAGCTCCCAGCCGGCCCCGTAGCTTGCTCCATGACACAGCAGCCAGGTGCATCCCAGTCAGTCCAGCCTCAGGTAGAGGGAATCGAGGTCACAGACATTACCAAGACCCTCTTCCCCAGCGAGGGGTCCCATCTAGTGCCATGACCAAAGCGCTATCTTGGTGCCACACACACCATGCCTTCACTCCTCTGTTAGCCTGTGGAAGGGACCCAGCTCAGCTGCACCTTTGCTCCCCAGCCTGGGGCCACCACGCTGCTCTAGGGCATGATTGCACTGACTCAGGCCAGGAAGGCTCGCAGCCCAGTGCGGGCAGCAGCATCACTGACACCTTATGGGGCCATCACAGCAGCTGCCAGTGCAAGGACCAGGGTTACTTGTTCCCCCCCAGCCCTGTCACCAGGAGGTGCTTGCTCAGCAGAGCCACATCTCTTCAGCAGCCAGCAGTCCTCCTCCCTGGCCAGTGACTCCCACTCCAGCACCCCTCCCCTCGACAGCTGGAAGTAGTTTCCTCCTGCCCAGCAGTAACAGGAAACTCCCCCTGCGTTCACAAGGCCGCGAGCGCTTAACCCCAAGAGCTGCCTCCATCCCACGCCGGGCTCAGCACGAGCAGCACGGCTTTACGTAAGCAGGCACAGCAGCTGCACACATGCTCCCCCAAGCCTGGTGGCTCTTCATCCCCTCCTCAGGGGGTCTGAGCCAGCTTCTGCCCCACATGCACACCCCGCCCCGAGCCTCCAGCACCTCCAGTTTCAACAGAAATCCTGCTTTTCTCCTAAAACACCCACTGTTCATAGCTCTGGCACTAATAAACCTCCACTTCTGATGGACCACCTTTCCTCGCCTTCCTCCTGTAGGTCTCCGACGCTCGTACATGCAAACCCAACCAGCCTGACTCACAGTGGCCCCACCTGCCAGTAGCACAGCCCTGCAGCCAGAGGGGCTCAGCCTGGAGGCTGGCAGGAGCTCATGCAGATGCTATGATCCTGGGTACAAGCCAAGGCTCTGACATGCTGGCAGGGTGAGGGAATGACCTGCCAGGTCTTTCAGCCCACAGAAAGATTAAGGGCTTGATGAGATGAGGCGGGAACACCCCCTCACTAGGAGGGATGTTTCTGAAACCAGCAGAAAGCACTGGAAGAACCAGATGGGAGGCAGCAGCTAGCCAAGAGGACATGCTCTTTAGGACAGTGGCACCTGCCAAGGCATTTTTCTCTTCACATCCCTCAAAGTGTCTCAGCTCCTTGTTTTTGCCAGGGAGTAGAGAGACTCTGCAAACGGGGGGCTCCCGGAGCCATCTGGAAGAGGAGACCAGCACCATGAGAGACTGCGAAGGGTTGTCCCAAGAGGATTGCAACCAGGCAGGCCAAGCCAGAGCACTTCCCTGTAGGGAGCAAATTTCTCTGAGGGCTTTCAGAAGATCCGTTATCTCTCAAAATACTACGTCTGTCAAGGAGGAAGCTGAGGAAGAGTGAATGGAGACGTCCAACACTGGGCAAGGAAAGCAGAGCAAGAGAGGCTTTTACTGGAAGAGACGCAGTTGTTTCTGGAGCTGCATTAGCTCACAGTTGGAAAGGAGTCTGGCCACACCACTGCAAACATCTCCTGCTCGCCTGCCCGTAGGGACGAGACGGACATCGCCAGCCGACTGCAGCCAGCCTCGTGCTGCTGTATTCATCATCTGCCCCAGAAAACAGCTGGAAGAGAAATTTGTGCCTCTGCCTGCCACCTTCCAGAGGCCAGGTGAAACATCCAGAAGTGAAGAGCCTCTCCCTTGCTGCAGCACAAGACCAGCGCTACCTAAAAATCACAAAGAAGTGATAAATGGGGCAGATAAACACCCCATCAGCTCTTCACTCTCCTTGTCAAGTCCTCCACTGTCTCTCCCAATTACCCTCAGAATTCAAATTTCCTATCTTGCCCACCATCCTTACAGAGAGAGATTCCTTCAGCAGAAAAAACAGAGGGGGGAAGGGAGGACTGAATACACAGATCCATCCCCAAGCCACCTTTAGCTTGGATGGCCTGCCTTTCCTCCTTAGTTACTTCTAGGTCTGCTTGTCTTTGCTCTGCAGTCAGCCCCAGCATCTTGTGGCGCTCAGAGCTATCCCTACAACTGGAACGGACCCAGCCACCTCCCCAGGTACCAGAAAGGCCCCCTGTGCAGGCAGGGACAAAGCACTCCGTTGTGCTCCTGGGAGCCGGTAGGACCCCAACCAGCACGTCCAAGAGCTGCATCTAGTTACCAGCTGCTGGCATGCAGAGCAGCATCTTCAATTGCGCTGCTGAGACAGCCTCAGCTCAGCAAGCCACGAGCACTTCACGGTCACCACTTCCCCCAGGCTGCGGGTCACTGGGTGCAAGCCTTGGGCAGACTACATTGGTGGCCAGCAAGAGCTGCTC